TCTTGTACTAGTGCGATTTCATTTCTTTGTATAGTCACGTTTTAATGAGAAATGAGGTTTCAATCTTTGATCTAATCCCTAATCTAACTCCTAAATTATTGAATTTGAAAATACCTCTCATTTATGGTAGGTATACAACATATTATAACTTCTTATTCGAGAACTGTTGAATTATCATTTTTGCACTAATCTCTCATGTAACTTATATGCCAGAACAAAATTGGTGTGTGGCAATTCACACACGGCAGAAGTGAAACTACCGATTTTTTTTAATAAATAAAAAGATAAACAAATATTCACTTTAAAAAAAATACACAATATACACACAAATATTATTGTGTGTAAAATCAATGCAAATAATTTACTAATGTTAATAAATTTAATTTAAAAAAAAAATTGGTCAAATTAACACAGATGTGTTAAATCATTAACATAAATTAATTAGCCAACGAATTTTAATACGCAAATGCAAAAAAATAAAACACGTGAATACACCACGTTGTTAATGACACATTTTCTGAAGGCTTCGTTGTACGCAGGCGCAAAGACACGTGATAGCATGGAGTAGACGAAGATTACAGAAAACACTGTATACTTGTAATCTATCTCATTCTTTCGCAGACTAAATCCTATTTATGTATATGTTTGTCTCTTTTTACTGTCGTTTAATAGAATTTTCAAATCAGAATATTCAAATCAGTAAAACCAACCAAAAGACAGGAGTCGCATAGCTGAACAAATCAAAAAGCATTTAATGCTCTTTGACTTTATTATAAGTAATTTAAAACTAAGCAGGTCAGTGTAACAAAAATCCACTCAATCCTGGTTCATTAGTTATATTAACTTGATTTATGACTAAGTGACTCAGGTCATTGGCGCAAAGACAATTAACCTGTAATGAAGATCTAATCGAGTGGCATCAATACACATCAAGCAACCTTAGCTTGTTTGTGCTTGTCCAAAGCACTATATCATCAAAGAACCTATGTGCAGGCCTAATTGAACTTGCAAATACCAGTGCGAAAAATGACAAAGAGAGTTCATCATCTATTGAGGCGATATCTAGGCAAATTGACCTTCTTTACGGAACTGACTCCTGACTTCCTACAATAAACAAAAACCTCAAAGCTAATGCGTCACATTAAGCTCTTTACCGCGCCTATTTCTTCGGTACAGAATAAGATCTCATTATGGATTTAAATTCAATAGAATAAACATTCCTAAAAGAACTGAATGACTGACAAGCGCAGCAAAGTGCTGCGTTGTCAAGCAGAAGTTTTAACTGCAGCTAAGTCGTGACAGTAACTTAACCCTCCTAGCAACAACGACCTTAAACTCACTCACATCATTGTTACTCGTACTACACTTGAAAAAATACGATAGGAACTCACCACTGTAATACGACTATTGTTTTCAAAACACAAACGGTAATAATAATAAATATTACGCTTGTTAATTTATTATTCATAAATTGTGTTACTAACAAAGTGCGAAATATAATTTGAGTGCTTTAAAATACACTGCTCCTAAAAGTATTTGCCTTTTATTATCTATGGGATAATTACATTTAGAGTACAAGCCCTTATCGTAATTGCTTTACCTTACATTGTATCATTGTCACTTAATGGAAGTTCCTAGTATTTAGAACAGCTTATTGCTAATAAAATGCTCAGTCATAAAAAGGTTTGCGAAGATTTCAGTCCAAAGTTATAGTGTTCAGTGTGTCAACCATGCGAGTTTGATCTAGTAACAGAAATAAGTTTATCGTACGCATCGCATTACTTGTATTTCTTCTTAAATCGTTTTTTTTATTATTTTTCTTCTTTGATGCCATCGTGGCGTCGTTTAAAGATGAATAGTGTATTTTTTTTTGCTAGTGCTCGTTCTAATAAATTATAAACAGATTTGAATATAGGTATACTAGGTTGAATACAGGTTTGACCAGAAAGTGGTCAAACCTGGTTAAATAATAGAGTAAAAACATAAAATAATAGATTTGTTTTAAACCATTACACCGTATGTCCGTGAGGTGACGGATTAAGAATACAGAGTGTCACCACCCCTATTCATCCCATGGGTGTCGTTAGAGGTGACTAAGGGAGCTAACAACACAGGACAGCAGCACTGCAAAGATAAGGAAAACTTGAAACAAACCCTATACCAATCCGTCTGACCAGTGTGGAAGACCAAAACCTCGCTTTTAAGGAGAGGCTTAGGGGAAGTTTGCGATGATTACACCACATAACTTTAAGGTGTTATATCTGATTACATAAAAGTGATACAATAAAACTACAATTTCGATGCTCTTCATATTTCGATGATTTTCACAACTATATTATATTATTTTAGAACACTGGTTGTATTTATGTTATGTTAATAGATTGATTTCATCGGTTTATTTTGACACGATTTTGACCACTTGCAATTAACGCTGTCACTTGGAATTACGTAAATTAATATTCAATGTTGTATTGTAATTAATTAATTGTATGTGTGTAATTTTAATTTACATTTCTATTACTGTTATTTTTGTATCGAAATACATGGTGTAAATATATGTAGTGTGGATGACAATCCTATAATTTAAAAACATGAATCTAATCTGATGATGATGAGGTAGGAGGTGGATAATGTTATCCTGTTTTCACTTTGGTGTGCCATTAAAGTACTATTTTATATTTGCCAAACGATACTGATGAAAGATTATTGGCCTAGTAAGGCTCCTCTTCTATAATGACCTCGGTTAACCACAATCGCTGTTTTGGCACGTAGAGTCCTCATTACGTAATACCATTTAAATACCATATTTAGTTTTGCCCATATAATACAATAGTGTTTGTTTGTGTCATAAAAGAAAATTGCTGTAACCAGAAATATCTCTTGACAAAGGTATATAACATTATTATTAATAATAAATTAAGTCAACAATCGGTGTCATCTTAGATATATGCCGATGACGGAGGCGTTGACCTCTAGTAGATGAAATTTGCAGTGTTCAATACTAGCTAACAGTGGTCTGACATGTGTTGTGTGTTAAATAAAAGATATTTGTTATTCTCACGAAATTAGTTTGCATGGTGTAAGCAATTATCGTAAAGAAAACAATATAAAAGTGTTTCGCTAATTTCTTACCTTAAAGTGATTTTTATTAAAGTTCAATATTCTTTTTGAGTGCTTTACGTACATATCATTACCATCTTATTTTACGTGTTAAAATTCCCATGAGTCATCTTCTCCAAAGAGATTTTCGGTTAACGTGCGAACTAAATCCTAATTTGGCTATAAACAGGCAATAAATTGTTAGTTCAGACGTAAAACAATTGAAGAAGGTTTAGTTTGAGATGTTAAATGTTCATTTAAAGACGTATAGGATTTCTTTGAGGTAATCTAATTATTTTTAGTTACTGACTATCTTTCTTGCAGTTATAAAAAGAACTTGCCATTAATTATAAATCATTACAGTGAGAAATTCAGTCACGTCAATAACTTATCTGAATACTTATAAACACTTTGTTGCAGGCGTGCCAGTTCAATTAAAAAAATAATAATTAAAGTATATAGTTCCCTAATTTAGTTACTATTCTGTAAAGGTTTATAAGTTCGTCAGTAGTTTAAAATAATGAAACATACGACTTGTTTAGATTGAAATAAAATCTAGTTTTTTTTTTAATTTGTTATAAATAGACCTGTTTTAGCTACATCATTGCAAAACCTTAAAAATGCATATTAAATTATAATATTTGTTAACACATCTACTTAGATTTATCTATATCGTGGCTTGAATATAAACCATAAAAACAAAAATTGCGAATCTTTAAATAAGATAGTGTCTTTTACAAAATGAACCTGTTTTGTATCAAGGATATCTATATATTTTTATCTCTTTTATTCCTCTTTGGAATCTTCTATTTTAATATATTCAGTTAATATACAGTCAGTAATATACAGTATTTTAATATACAGTCCTTGACTTAATCCTCGATATGATCGCTGGACAATTATGTATATCAAAGTGATAAAGACAGGAGGCCCCACCCAAAATTCTACCTTCATATTATAAATGCGAAAGTAAAATTATTTATATGTTACGCTTTCAAGCCTTAACTTCTCAAACGACCCATGAAAAGTATAAAACTTAATGAGTACAGAAAAGGTCAAAGATACCTTTCATCCAGAAAAATAATAATGTCCTCGATCAATATAAACTTAACTTTACGCGTCTTGCGTAAACAGACCTAGTAAAATAAGATTCATTTCTCAGTATAAGAATTCAAAACTGACCACCACGTGAAGGATATTCTATGCTCTATATTGTTTATCTAAATTAATTAATTCTATTGCTGAGCAAATAAATCCGTTAATTTTAAAATGTGCCTAAAGTGCGAATGAAAATCATTGCTATAATTTAATGAGACCTTCTTCTTCAATTTTAATCATTTCTACAAAAAACATACATACCTACCCTAATTTATATTTTTAAAAGCATAAGGTACCTTCATATAAATTAAGAAGTATAGTCGTAGATAGTACAAATTACATTCGTGCAAACCAAATATTAAATTTTTCCTTAAATACATCTTAAAAACCTCTTTTAATTCTTCATTTCTCTAATGTAGACTTATAGTGCATAAAGATTTTATAAAAAAAGGCTACCGACAAAATAATTAACAAAACGTTTCCATCTTATTTAGAAAACAGTGAGAAGTCTTGGAACCATTTAGACAATACATACCGCCGTGTCGAGTCAGGAGGCAGCCGCGGGTTGAGGCCATGTCGAAATATAAAGAAAATTAAAATATAAATAATATAAATACATATTTCTGTGAAAGTAATCTGTTATCATTCATTTAACTATTTGATAAAGTGTTAGTTCCTGAGTAACAGTTAACTAATTGCATGCGTGTGCGTGTGTGTAGTATTTATTTATTTACCTAAATGTGTTGTTGTTTATGGTTATTAAATACGTTAATAGTTGAAAACAGTGAATAACACGTTCAAAAATGGAAATTAAAAGGATGTTCAAAAGTGTAAAAATGTTATCAGTTTTTATTATCTACTTGGATCAAGTTACAATGAGTACTTTACAGGATCAGCGGGAATACTGTGCGACGTTGCTGAGTCAATATGGTAATTTATATTGTTGTTTAATATTTTTATACAACACAGTTGGTAACCAAACACACGACCTGTCTAATAGTAAGCGGTTATAAGCACCTAACAATTAACATTTACCAAAATCAAATGCGTAACAGTATTAGGAAGGGACACTACTTTTACAACACTACGACCAGTCTGCTCAAATAATATGATGGACATACTTGGATGATTTTTAGTTTTGAATGTATATTTAGTCTGTAAGAAATACCAATTGAAATATGTTAAGAATTTACATTCTATAAGATTTCGTTTACCTTTTCATATTATTCCTTGACACAATTGCCTCTTACAATTAATCTCACGTCATCAAATTTTTAACAAGTGCTTAGGTATAAAAAAAAAACCTTTTGCAAGTATACAGACCGTTTGCTTGTTTCACCTTTTAATAGTGTAAACACCCTACTGCAATCATAATGCCCAAAATGTTAGATTTGAAATACAATCCCACCCAATATCGTCGTAAACCAATTTCTAACACTAGCTTTAGCTTATTAAGTGGGGGTGAACCAGTACTTTTTTACTATTTGTTTGGTTGCAATTTGATCAAGATTATAAAGAAGCGTACCTCATGCATATTAATACAGTAATTTACAAAGGCTTTTTGTACGAAGCATTTTTGTTATATGCACCTACTTTATGCACTGTTTTTTATGAGCAACACTTGCTTTTTCTATTTTATTTGTATTACTTTAAAACATAATCGATCTCAAAGTCACAGGTTTCGATTAAATAAATAAACATTAATAAGTGGATACAAATGTCAACTTAAAAAATAATATGTTTCCGAGGTCCTAATAAAATAAATTAAGTCTGTAGCAATTTTTAGCATCATATATGAAGGTTGACAAAAATTGAGTTTTTTGTTTGTCGTAACAGTTTTTCATTTCCATTCTTCTATTTCCATGCAACATACACTAATAACAGAACTTACAAGTGTTTTTAATAAGATGATTAATTAGTAACATTTTTCGCTATACCTGACTATAAGAATAATAAAATATACAAAAAAAACAGACAAGTCCAAATTCAATAGCATTTAGGAACTACGACCTTCTAAGGATTTTTAAGATAATTTTGGTTTTTGGGTTGGTTGTTGTTGTTTAAAGTTGTTTTTTTATCACAGTTTATTTAAAGTAATAATTTTTTTTTTAATTACCTAATGAACTGTAATAAATTATGAGGAGACAACCCTAAAATCAAATTTATCTTAAAAAACTTTAGAAGGTTGTAGTTCCTAAATGCTACGGCATTTAAAATTGTTTTTTTTTTTGATGATGCATATTTTGATAAACTACAACCTTAGCCCCAACCAAACCATAATGTGCGTCACCACGTCAGCGGATTTGATTAACCCGAACACCGCTTTATAGAACATGAAAACAGTTTAGATTCCAGCTGTAGCAAAGCGTATCGAATACCATCGGTCGTTCTAAATGATTGAGCACATTGTTGGAATATAAATGGAGTGTAAAACTTTGCCCGCACTTGTCAAAATTTACGCGCAATTGTGACAAATCACACCTTTCTTGTGTAATCTTATAGCATTATTCTTTAAACATCTTCTATACCTACTTCTATCGTCAGCCAACTTCAAAGTGCAGACAAACATTATTAACCAGTGTCACCACCCCTGTTCATCTCGTGGATGTCGTAAGAGCTGACTAAGAAAGCAAACTCTGCAGGATAACAACACTGCTAAAAGAAGGAAAACTTGAAAACACCCTATAATAATCCGCCTGGTCAGCCTGGTATAGTTGGCCAAAATGCTTTCTAAGGAGAGGCCCATGTCCACCAGTAGACTACTAAAAGTTGATGATGATGACGATGTTTATGAAATATTTCAGGTGATTTAAATACTCATTATGAGTAGCCTAAATGGATATTTCAGACTAGCTAGACTACATTCATGTTAACTTCAAAATAAATTTTACCAGCCTAAGAGCAGTATCTAGGAATAACACTAACTCGATTTACTCAATACGTAAATTACATAAATAATTTATCTATACTTAAATCAAGTAACAAAAATGTTTTAGTCCTTGTCATCGCAAAATTAAGTCAAGTACAGCGAGTATATTATACAGTATCATATTTAAAAATAAAAACTTTACGGCAGGAGGTTCCGTTGCAGTACATTATTTATTTAATATTTATTTAATTTACTCTAACTGATTGATATATTATGTAGCGGAGTTACCTTCATTTTAACACCTATAAATAATAACTTTTTCATTTAATTTACATAGAGTAGGATATGTTTATTTTTTATCATGATTTATTTTATTTATTCATTACTTATACATACCGTAACTTATATAGTTAAAGACCCAGCAGTCATTATCAGATTACCAGTTGGCACTATACTAAGGTATTGGGATCATAGTCAAGAAAGGTTACTAAAAAGCAAGTACAAGAGGCCTTTTTTTGGTATTGCACCTTAACACATAATATTTATTGATCATTTATTATATATCAATAAATAATGAATGGTCATCATCTAATATTTTTCGAACATCTAACACAGAACGCTATCTAGTTTCAAACTAAGCAGAGCTTGTACTGTGCAAGTCAGATTGACTGAATACTTGTATACTTTTTTGTTTATAAATACATACATATTAAATATAGAAAACCCCTAAACTCCGAAGTAAACATTTGCAGGTCATACAAACATTTGGTCCGACCCGGTAATCGAACCCAATCCTATACATAAATAAAAATTGAAATACATTCTGTCAAGAAAGTACCGGGAAAAGATCAATAATACACAAAATGTTTGTTATTCATCACACTTACGCCAACGATTAATCCAATAATCAAAACATTTGGTAAACGCTGTTTTCGGAATTGAGTTCAGCTCTCGAATTCTCCTTTATGTCTTCTACCGATTGAAAACGAGTGTCTCGAAGTGGTAATTTGAGTTTAGGAAAAAGAAAGAAGTCGGCTGGAGCCATATCTGGTGAATATGGTGGTTGCTCGATGGTATTTGTTGAGTGTTTAGTCAAAAATTCATTCACAATGATGGCCTTGTGCGAAGGCGCATTATTGTGGTGCAAAATTCAAGAATTTTCTTTATACAAATCTGGCCTTTTTCATCGAATTTGATCTCTTAAATGCCGCATAACGCTCAAATAATGTTCTTTATTTACCGTTTGACCTTCCGGCAAGAATTCCGAGTGCACGAAACCGCGATAGTCAAAGTAAACAGTCAACATGACTTTGACTTTTTATCGACTTACGGATCGACACGTGAGATACAGAAAATTCGGCGGTTATCTGTCTCAAAGTTGAATGAGGTTTTGCAGTCACTATTTCCTTCACTTTTGAGATGTTAACTTCAGTTGCAGACGTTGATGGCCTATCAGAGCAAGGCAAATCTTCCATCACATCTCGACTGCTTTTGAATGCTTTGTACCACTCATAAGCACGTGTTTTTGATAAAGTCGATTCACCGTAAGCCTTCTGGCACATTTTCAGTGACTCCGAACACGAAATTCCATGGGCGATGCAAAATTTAAGACAAATTCTTTGTTCGATGTTTTTATCCATTATGAAATTCGCAATACACACTAGATATGATATAACTAAAAACAACACTGTGTTTAATATAAATAACAGATGCAACTCAAACTCCGCGCCAAAATGGAAAACAGTTGTGCTAATCTAACAACAATTTTAACCATAAACAAATCATCAATTCCCGATACTTTTTTTACTGAATGTATACCTATTATTTTAATTACTAGGCTGATGTTACAGGGCAAGGGATACTTTAGTTACCAGGCTACTACAAATATACAGCATGAAGGAAAACAAAATACAACATTCAGTGATTAAGCAAACAAAAAAAACTTATGCTTATTGTTTTGTTTTAAGTCTCGAAACTAGTTTAATAAATCATGAATATTTAATTTGAGTCTTAACAAATGACATGTCGTATTCTGCAAACATAGACTTAAAACTATTTTTGTTGGACACAACTAAAATTGTTTTTCTTACCTAGAAGTTATTCCTTTTCTTATAGGTATCTGAAATTTCTCGTTTATCAATCAACGCCATTTCAACAACACGAGACAATTTGACCTAGGATTTTATTTTATACCTAATAAAGTCATAATTTGAAACTTTGTAACTAAAGAAAGAAATTTTTGCAGATAACTCGTATCTGCAAAAAGTTTATATATATAAGTTTATTGAGGTCTACAACACAATCTGTAAAGTTATTTGACTTGCCTGCCTATATTTTATTATTTTTATTGTATTGTTCTAGATCCAGAGCTGCTCGCGTCATTTAAGTGGGAAATGTCTCACGGAATAGAAAGATTTTTTCTTCTGTCATACTGCCTAGCGTGTTGCTGGCCTGGACTTGGAGCCAAAAGTGACTTACGAATTGTTAAACAATGGGCTGAACTCGACTTCGTGTTCCCCAGTCAGGCGGCCCAAAGAATAGCTATTGAAAGGAATTATTATACACGTGGAAGTTCTGTACCTATTGATGTAGATGTGAACCACAGACAAGGTAAGATTTCTCTGGCGCAGTTTCTTTCTTTTATACTAGTTAGAAAATAGATATTTCGGCAAATTAGCAGACGGCACTCCTGACCAAGTATAGTAAACGGCAAATAAAGCAGACACTTAACCAGGTATTAGTGCTCATAACTCGTTAAAAATACGCAGAAGTACTATTACTGGTCACGCCTTTGTTTTTGAAGTCCATTTTTTTTTTTTTTTTTTTTAAAGACAACTCCCGCAGTAGGAATACATTCCTGTGTCACGGGGGACTTTACAAACATATATGAAACGGACACAAAGAACACCCAGACTCAGAACAACAATTTGTGGATCACACAAAGTGTCATTCCATGTGGGGTTTGAACCCACAACACTCGGCGCAGTAGGAAGCGGCGTGGCGACCACTTAAACCACTACGCCATCCGTGCAGTCAATTCCACAAACATTCTCATCGGGATAACTCTTCTTAGTCCGAGTCAACAATAGTGGCCCAATAAAGCCCTCCTCCTAGTTGCTTGCTGTAATGTTTCAAATACATTTTCTATTTTAAAATTTTGCCAAGAGATGACTGTGATGATGATGTTTTAGGTAATTAATTATTTGAGTACTTTCAGGAGAACTTTTTCATTACTTTCGTTTTTTGTGTATTAAGATAAAATTTATTTACTAGGAAACCTTTATCGTTGAAAAATTGCCGTGGATGCTTTAGTAAATTTTTGTGAGGAGGAAAGGACTACCTTATTTATTATGGCAAGAAATCTGATCGGCTATAAATACAGACCTTTTACACTACTCTGACAGATAATTGTTAAGTAAAATACATATATCTTGGAAACATTTCTAGCAAAGATTTGAGACATCCAGTTGAGAAATACGATATAACAATGATTATATTATTGGTTTGACTGACATCTGGGTCTAGTGGTTGGTTAGTGATCCTGACTGCTAAGCCAGAGGTCGTGGGTTCGAATCTCACCTGGAACGAATATTGCAGGATGATTACAACAATTTGTTGGCTGATTCAAAAAGTTATTTTTACCATTAATATGCACCTACACATGTAGGTACATGTGTTAAACTTCTAAACGCATCTGTTCCAGGTGTACCATCAAGAATATTCGTAACTATACCTCGGTTTGGCCCGGGACGTCCGGTCACGCTAGGTACTGTAGAACCCGACGGCAGGATCAAGGGCTACCCAGATTATTCATGGCATGACAACCAGGGCAACAACTGTGCTGGCTTGACATCAGTGTTCAGAGTTGCTGTAAGTATAAATATTACATGTTTCCGTACAGTAAAAAAGTATACATCAACGTAATAAACCAGCTGTAATTACCCTGTTTATATCTAAAAGAAAGTAGGTAAACCTGTTAAACTCAGACAGATTTTTAGTTTTTTTGTCTAGCTTGAGTAGTCTTCAGCTTACATTGCACAGTGCGAAATTGCCCTTAAAGCTGCATACGCTGTTCAGGATTGATGATTACTAGTATTTACCTTACCCTTTCCATTTCATCTCTAGCCTGCTAGTATTGGTAGCCGTCGGTGGCAGACAGTCAGATCCCGCAATAATAACACAGAGACATTAACATCAATGTATGTCATCAGAAACTAGGAACATCTATTACAATGATTATTTTTACCTAATAAAAGAAATACACCTTCTTTAAGTATAGTTCAAATGTGTTCTCGTGAACTTCATTTCGCCGGTAAATGACACATGGTGGGAAAAATATGGAAAAAATATAAGAACAGTAGTATATATATACGTTTTATTTGCCCGTACAAAATGATCCTTCAGGTCAAAGATTTAATGCCGTCGTGGCATTCGAAAATCGAATCAATCACACAGAAACTACACTAGTATTTGAATGCTATTAGGCATTATAACATCACGCTACGACCCGTAAGAACCGAGCATCAATGTAAAATATTGTAAAAACGGGAAAATTTATTCATTTTGAGATACGCAGACGAATTTGCACGGGTCAGCTAGTGTAAAATAAAAAACAACAAATAAAAATACAACAACTAACTAAAGGAATAACCGGTTGTAATGTGCACATTTAATCGAGTTTTTAGACTAATATATTCCATTACGACATAGGTTAATCACCTTTTCAAGTTATTTCTCATTCATACATAAGATATCATAATAACAATAATTATCGTAATATCCGTTTAGAAGTTTCCGATTTCTATTTCGGTTATTTAATGATTTATATTATATCAAAAGGTCAATACATCTATTTACGAGTATTATTTCTTAAAAAATATTTAAAACATATAAATAAAATCAAATGAAAATAGGAGAGTCTTTACGTATTAATATACGCGAATTCATCCGCTATCTAATCGGCGGTATAATTATATCAGTGTCGCCGTAAGGTTTAAATGTAATCAGAATATTAATACCAGCATTTAAACAATAATACTGCACTAGAACATTTTTTAAATGCCCCAAAATGTACATGGAAACACACATTCGAAGCATTCGAAATTCGAAGGGAATCGAATGTACGGGCTTTGTCTGTATGCTACAATTAACTTTCAGATTACTGATGACAAACCAGATTTTATCAATGTTCTGTTTTGGCAATCTCAATTAGGGAATATTTGGCCTAAGTTAATAATTTACAACTAAGTTTGTAAGATTTTTATATTAATGATCTTAAATTGTCGGTGGCTACAATCACTCGGACGTGACTGATTGACTCTCCTATTAATCACCAAAGAAAATAAAAGTTCTGCACAGTAGCTGGCTTCTTCTTCGGGCGGCTCCACTTTTTTCTTAAATAATTGACTACATTTTCTTAGATAGGTCAAATGTTTTAAATACATTCAATGGTAAGTTTTGTACAGTTTAGCATCTCGTGTGAAACCACGAGGATTTACATAAAACCTAGCGAAATAAGGAGAACCAGTTTCTGTGAGATCAGACGCATCTCATGGATTTGACTTTAATCTAACAGCCAGACACCTATTATGTAGTATTAAAATAAGTTTTATAATTATATTTGAGGATATGCGTAGCGTAGCATTTACCCGTATTATCTATTCTAATGGCACTTTATAATATGAATTCTAAAACAAGACGATGATTGATGATTACCTGATACTACTCACTATAGATACTGTGTTTTGGTAAAGACAAACAGCCTTGAATACTGTACACAACACAACACTGTCTTACAATACCCAGTGCAAATTTATTGTCATTGAAGCTTTCATACAATCCTGAAAGTTTAGGGTATTTCTGTCATTGCATTACTTTTCTTAAGAATACACGTAGCCTTAGGTACGTATAATTTAAAACATATATCATAGAAGTGATTCACGCAGATAAATACAAATAGACATATCATAGCCTAAACCAACGGGGACTCACATACCGTTTGTCTAAGGTAGTGATATAGGCAAAATTTTTTTTATGATTAATATATAAAGTGCAGAGACATGATGACCCTGTATCGTCTAAAGGTCTTGGCTGTGATAATTATTGTTTATGTTCCTTGTTTTAGTTATTAGATATTCCACCATTAACTTGTTTATTTTCTATTGTTTCCCTGAATGATGTAAGATGATTGGGTAATATAAAACCACTATAATCAAAGGTTACTTATCGATGGCCTTAATTGTTAATTACCTGAGCTTGTGACTTGTTTTCTTATAAAATTAGTTCTAGTAATTTATAAAAATAGTGTAACATTTATAAAAAATAACAACTTAGCATACCTAAATTATATTACAAATTTTATTCGTACAGAACCTTTTTAAAATTATAAGGCATTCGAACAATATATCAGTTTTAAGTATGTAAATGTAGGATACATGGGGGGTTAAAATAGTTCTATTGAAATGGCTCTTCAATTGAGACATAGAACCTGCGATTATTTTTAAAGATGTCGAATTCTGTCCACGTTCAAACTAAAACTAGACCTAAAAGGCCTTCAAATTCTAATTTAACCTACAATTTTATTACTTACTTTCTTTCCCTTTAAATTAAAAATCTAAGCAATAGACGCAGTTACTGCGTAATCATCACGTCGACTTTATCCAGGATTGAACCTAATCTACTATTACAGTTAAAAGCTCAATAACATTTCCTATTTTGCTATGACGTAAATGATACTGAAACTTGTAAGGCTCTTTGCCTATTTTTAATCTATTCATAACGCTTTAATCCAATTTAGTGTGTATGACAAGATAAGGTCTTAGCCAACAGGAAGTACAGTAATAAGAGTAGACCTATATTGAAACGTAAAAGAAAGATAAGAATTATAAACTTTACAATTCTAATCTGATATAAAAAAAGAGCAAGTAGACTGTGGGAAGCGAATTTTAAATTTACACGACTTATTTATTTTTCTAATATTAATATAAAGAAAAGTAGAAAATACTAAACCATTTAAAAAAAACATGGATGTGTTAAATAACAATTGTCATCATCTTCGATTCCAGATAGATGAATGCCAGCGCCTATGGGTGATGGATACTGGTAAGATTGGAGATACACAAAATTGTCCTCCACAATTACTCGCTTTTGATCTCACCACAGACAAACTCATCTACCGACACGTCGTTAATCAATCAAGCTATTCAGATATTTCGTTGTTTATTACACCTGTAAGTATATTTCTTTCTCCTCATTAAGCATATAATAACGTATCGCAAACTGACTTTGATCCGCATGGTAAACACGATAAGTATTCGTGGTTAAGGAATGTTTATTATTTCTATCAAAATGTAAAAACAAACAGACTCAGTGCCCGTTCTGTGCGGAACTCCCTTTGGACCCCCCCTGTGTGGGAACCCGGATGTCCTCTTCCTGCCCCCGAAGGGCGTGCGAGCTCCGTAGCGCGTTGCGCCACCACACACCCCGGCCTGCTTCTGCTAGAGTGGCAGATGGCCTCACCTGTCATCCTCAGGCCTCAGGCATGGAGGACGGAGGTCGTTCTGCGACCTCCGGCACCTGAGCCGTCTACGGCACCTGGCTCGTTCTCGGGCCTGGTGGGCTGGGAGAGTTCTGAACCTCTCCCTTTACCAGTCCGCCATCTCCTTCGCAAGCATAACCTGCTCGCAGAAGGAAACGGCAGAGTTCCACGCACTCCTGCTCCGTACCATGAAGGTAAACATGTTACCGAGCGAGAGAATTCCCACTCCGACGGCCGCCACGAGGCTACGCCTTTGCTCCACCCACGCAGGGCATTCTGCAAGCGTATGGAGCGCCGTGTCCACGTTCCGGTCATCGCAGTGGTGGCACTCAGGCGTTGGCTCCTTGCGGATCAGATACAGGTGATCACCGAAGCATCCTTTCCCGGTGATCACCTGCGTCAGCTGGTATGAGAGGGTTCCGTGATGCCTCATGAGCCAATCCTTCGTAACGGGTCTTACCGCCGATAACGGCGTGCCCGGCACTCGGTGGCCCGAGTCGTTCCTTCTACTCCTCCACGAGGACCTGGCGGACTTGGGATACTCGATTCCTCGACAATCAGGAATCCGTTCCAGCTCCCGCGCCCCTTACGCCACTGATACACAGCTGCAAGGGCTCTCGGCTCTAGGCCCCAAGGTGGAGTTCCGTCCAGTAGACTCGCCGCCTCAAAGGAGATCGTGCGGTATCCCCTTATGACCCTGATGGCCAGTACTCGATACGGTCATCAAGTACCACCCAGTTGAGTACCTCCACCATACATGAGCCATATACATAAGGGGGAGTTTCTAGGCAGGGCCCATCAGATTAGTTAAAAAAGAAAAATCGATATCCAGAAATACTCGAGCGTATAAGATTAAGGTAAGATGAGCCAATTACATACACATTGTGTATTTACACAATGTATATGTCGACTGCACGGATGGCGTAGTGGTTTAAACGGTCACCACGCCGCTTCCTACTACGCCGAGTGTTGTGGGTTCAAACCCCACATGGGACGACACTTTGTGTGATCCACAAATTGTTGTTCTGAGTCTGGGTGTTCTTTGTGTCCGTTTCATGTATGTTTGTAAAGTCCCCCGCGACACAGGATTTATTCCTAATGCGGGAGTTGTCTTTAAAAAAAAAAAAAAAAATATGTAATTGACGCAACACAGCGTGTATTTAAAAAATCTGACGATTTGAAGGTGCCATAAAGCAAAAGCAGCAGTGCCAAAATCTGACGATTTGAAGGTCCAAAGGGCACAAAGGTCCAAAAAAACCCATGACCTTGACATTTTTTTTATTCTGAAGCAAACAATGAAAGAAATCTTCAATAAATGTCTACATAATTTTTCATTTCATAAAAATCAAAATATTTCTAACCGTCAAATTTAAAATACCCTGCAAAATCATCGTCAGATTTTTGGCTAGTATGAGAGGAACATCAAGCTGATTCGTTTGTTTAAAATCTAACACGCTCGACATCTTGAAATGGCAATTTTTCGAATTTGTAGTTTGCATTTTTTACAATTCGCTACAAGCTTTTGGCACTTTAAAATCGTCAGATCTTGCGATGGGAACATTTTTGGCGTCCAAATAACATATCCTCAAAATATCTGAAGAGCCCGATTATTTTTTTTCGATTCCTCCCCTTATATTTTTGAAAACCCAGCGCTGTAAGTGAACATTTTATAACTTTTATTCATTCTGTTTTTTGTGTTGTGTGTGTTTTTTATTCATTGTGTTTTCTGTATTCATGTCTTAAATTTTCGTATAATATTGTTTTCAGGTGTTGGATATCCGTTCGCGAGGTGCTGGTGACTGCACTTTTACCTATGTGTACGTTGCCGATGTATCAGACTTTGGCCTACTAGTAGTGGACGTGATGAAAAATAGATCCTGGAAAGTGTCCCAACGACTGTTCTACCCGTATCCATCTAGAGGAATTTTTAATATTGTAGGTGAGTCAGTAGCAGACAAGTGTTTGTATATGGTCTTTAGGTTGTCAAGGGTTTTATAGTTGTTATTGTCAAATCTGTAAAATGAACAAGCAAGCAAAATCAGTACTAATAACCTAAAACCAGTTTTATTACCAAGTTTTCACTGTAAAACCAGTCTTAACCTACAAACCTATTTACAGAAAAAGTAAGTAGGTATCACTTTCGCTGAAAATAGTTAATAGGATATTCAACCCTTTAGATGACAAATATAAAAACTCCTTTAAATACAATGATGACAAAACAATATCAATATATATGTTGGCAATGTAAAATTACAGGTGTAAAATTCGAATTGATGGACGGAGTATTAGGGTTAGCTTTATCTCCGTACAAGCCTGGCAGTGAACGCAACCTATTCTTCCATGCTCTTGCCTCCACAACCGAAAACGTGGTCAGCACCAGGGTGTTAAGAAATGATTCCTATGCCTCCACTAAGCAACTTGGTATGGATGATGTCTATGTAAGTTGAAAAAGTTTGTTTCATAAATTGAATTCATTCATAGGTTGAACTAATGCAATCAATAGAAATAAAAATGCCTATGAATTGCCGGATTACTGATGCCTGGTTCACGCAAAAGTATACAAAATATAAAAATTAACTGAGCAACTGAAAAGCTCCTGCAATTTTTTTTTTCCAAAAATACCATTTAAGAAAAACTGATTAACGATTTAGTGTCTTTTGACTGTCAAAAGATCACAATTACTTACTTACTTACTTAATTATTGTTAGTGACTTCAATGCATGTATTTGAAAAACCTCGAATCTGTTAATGAATTTTATTTATCTCATTTTCTTTAAATATTTAAAGATTTTGTGGAGAACATTTAAATCACTTTAAATCTAGGCTTTCTTAAAAAAGCAACTTGGAGCGCAATTGAAGGAAATGAAATTTATTTTAAAATCAAGTTTAATCAAAAGAATCATACAATACTAGAACAAGCAGCTGCTTTCCCTTCTTAGTTCACAAGTTACTCCGATAAATTTTCAGGTATACCCAGAAGAGCGTCCCACACAATCAGCAGCCCAAGCCATGGACAGTAATGGTATCCTGTATTTCGGTATGATGAATCCTCCCGCAATTTACTGTTGGAATACCGCCACAGAATTCTCTCCACGCAACTTTCATGTACTTGCAATTGACGAAGAGACTCTACAGTTTGCTAGTGGCGTTAAAGTTGTCATAAACACTAAAGGAGAAGAAGAATTATGGGTATTAACGTGCAGCTTCCAAAGAGTAATGACTGGCACGATTACATCGGACAGAATCAACTATAGAATTCATGCTGAAAACTTATCAATCTTGTTGAAAAGATCTGCGTGCAAAGGAGGAAAACAAAAACCGTGGTCTAACGTTTAAAAATATAAGTTCCCGTGACTATTATGTAAAAAGTTTTGTTAATTTATTTTATCAAACTGAAAGTTATATGAAATGAAATAAATTAATTTATTTTGGCCGAATATACTTTTATATCAAAGTGCGAAGAGTATGCGCGGTTAATGTTGTTGTTAAAATTATAATTAGTACTAACTTTAAATAGTTTGATACTATTAAAAACTTGAAACTTGCATTTATTTGTTTTATTTTTAAAGTTTCTAACTGTCTAAGTTACTATTTATCTTAAAGTAATTACTTTAATAACTGAAAATTTATTTTAAAACACAAAATTTATTTTATGATAACACGTCATATTGAAACGCCTGATCCGTTTCAAGCAGCGCTCTTATATAAAGAACCAATGAGCCTAAAGCCATTGCAGATGTCAATGAATTACAAGTACCACCCTCAGAGGTGGCAGCCTTCTTCACTTTGTATTCCTCCTGAAAATAAAGTTCGTATATCACTTTACGGGTCTCATTTAGGTCAAATTGAGTTTCAGAAAATATGAAACTTTTCACTATTAACACAGTACAGTTGTGGTCATGTTTTATTTTAATTTTTTTATAGGTACCTCTCTACTTTTATCGGTGGCAGTTGATGATGGCCCTACGAATCCAGTTAGTCTTAAGAACGGTTGTCGATCATCTGAGTAACAACCTTTAGGTTCCTGCCACGACAATATTTTATTCATCCATCTCGGTTTTATGAACTCTCCATAACCTTGCAAGGAGCAATAAAAAACTGAAACGACAAAAAATGAATTTAATAATAATCATATATTCACACATCTCACACTCGGGCCGTCTGATCCCAAACTAGGCAGAACCGGTACTATGTTAACCAGACTGCTAATAGATGTACTATGTATATATTTCTAAATAAATACTTATAGATAAATTACATCCAGACAGAACAAATGATAGTGGTCATCACACAACTATGTCCTGAGTGGGAATCGAACCCACGACCTCTGGCTTAGCAGTCAGGTTCACTAACCACTAGATCCACAGGCCCGTCAACATATATTGTCTTTATATTATTATGTTATTTATATCTGATAGGTATTTTTGGACAAGTAATAAAGTCATAACAGAAATTTACCTTGTTGCATAAAAAGTGTTCTAGTGCCGGGAGGGTGATTCCAAGCTTCCAACGATTTTGTTTCTTTATAAATTTGGATACATAATTTATATATGTGTGCTGAAATATCGAGTCCTTCCAAACAGTCAAAAAGGTGTGTTAAAATAGCAGCTCTAACTCGGCTTGTTTGTTGAAAAGCTAACCCTGAACTTTTTATAACCTGCGCAGCACATTCTGGTGTCAATTCGCAAGTTCCTTCTGTTTGCGTAGTCTGTGTTTCCATGGCAGATATCAACAATTGCATTATACAGGCATCTGCAAACCAAGCAGAAATCCAAATCAAATTTCACATACACATTGTGTCCTCTTCCTGCCCCCGAAGGGCGTGCGAGCTCCGTAGCGCGTTGCGCCACCACACACCCCGGCCTGCTTCTGCTAGAGTGGCAGATGGCCTCACCTGTCATCCTCAGGCCTCAGGCATGGAGGACGGAGGTCGTTCTGCGACCTCCGGCACCTGAGCCGTCTACGGCACCTGGCTCGTTCTCGGGCCTGGTGGGCTGGGAGAGTTCTGAACCTCTCCCTTTACCAGTCCGCCATCTCCTTCGCAAGCATAACCTGCTCGCAGAAGGAAACGGCAGAGTTCCACGCACTCCTGCTCCGTACCATGAAGGTAAACATGTTACCGAGCGAGAGAATTCCCACTCCGACGGCCGCCACGAGGCTACGCCTTTGCTCCACCCACGCAGGGCATTCTGCAAGCGTATGGAGCGCCGTGTCCACGTTCCGGTCATCGCAGTGGTGGCACTCAGGCGTTGGCTCCTTGCGGATCAGATACAGGTGATCACCGAAGCATCCTTTCCCGGTGATCACCTGCGTCAGCTGGTATGAGAGGGTTCCGTGATGCCTCATGAGCCAATCCTTCGTAACGGGTCTTACCGCCGATAACGGCGTGCCCGGCACTCGGTGGCCCGAGTCGTTCCTTCTACTCCTCCACGAGGACCTGGCGGACTTGGGATACTCGATTCCTCGACAATCAGGAATCCGTTCCAGCTCCCGCGCCCCTTACGCCACTGATACACAGCTGCAAGGGCTCTCGGCTCTAGGCCCCAAGGTGGAGTTCCGTCCAGTAGACTCGCCGCCTCAAAGGAGATCGTGCGGTATCCCCTTATGACCCTGATGGCCAGTACTCGATACGGTCATCGAGTACCACCCAGTTGAGTACCTCCACCATACATGAGCCATATACATAAGGGGGAGTTTCTAGGCAGGGCCCATCAGATTAGTTAAAAAAGAAAAATCGATATCCAGAAATACTCGAGCGTATAAGATTAAGGTAAGATGAGCCAATTACATACACATTGTGTATTTACACAATGTATATGTCGACTGCACGGATGGCGTAGTGGTTTAAACGGTCACCACGCCGCTTCCTACTACGCCGAGTGTTGTGGGTTCAAACCCCACATGGGACGACACTTTGTGTGATCCACAAATTGTTGTTCTGAGTCTGGGTGTTCTTTGTGTCCGTTTCATGTATGTTTGTAAAGTCCCCCGCGACACAGGATTTATTCCTAATGCGGGAGTTGTCTTTAAAAAAAAAAAAAAAAATATGTAATTGACGCAACACAGCGTGTATTTAAAAAATCTGACGATTTGAAGGTGCCATAAAGCAAAAGCAGCAGTGCCAAAATCTGACGATTTGAAGGTCCAAAGGGCACAAAGGTCCAAAAAAACCCATGACCTTGACATTTTTTTTATTCTGAAGCAAACAATGAAAGAAATCTTCAATAAATGTCTACATAATTTTTCATTTCATAAAAATCAAAATATTTCTAACCGTCAAATTTAAAATACCCTGCAAAATCATCGTCAGATTTTTGGCTAGTATGAGAGGAACATCAAGCTGATTCGTTTGTTTAAAATCTAACACGCTCGACATCTTGAAATGGCAATTTTTCGAATTTGTAGTTTGCATTTTTTACAATTCGCTACAAGCTTTTGGCACTTTAAAATCGTCAGATCTTGCGATGGGAACATTTTTGGCGTCCAAATAACATATCCTCAAAATATCTGAAGAGCCCGATTATTTTTTTTCGATTCCTCCCCTTATATTTTTGAAAACCCAGCGCTGTAAGTGAACATTTTATAACTTTTATTCATTCTGTTTTTTGTGTTGTGTGTGTTTTTTATTCATTGTGTTTTCTGTATTCATGTCTTAAATTTTCGTATAATATTGTTTTCAGGTGTTGGATATCCGTTCGCGAGGTGCTGGTGACTGCACTTTTACCTATGTGTACGTTGCCGATGTATCAGACTTTGGCCTACTAGTAGTGGACGTGATGAAAAATAGATCCTGGAAAGTGTCCCAACGACTGTTCTACCCGTATCCATCTAGAGGAATTTTTAATATTGTAGGTGAGTCAGTAGCAGACAAGTGTTTGTATATGGTCTTTAGGTTGTCAAGGGTTTTATAGTTGTTATTGTCAAATCTGTAAAATGAACAAGCAAGCAAAATCAGTACTAATAACCTAAAACCAGTTTTATTACCAAGTTTTCACTGTAAAACCAGTCTTAACCTACAAACCTATTTACAGAAAAAGTAAGTAGGTATCACTTTCGCTGAAAATAGTTAATAGGATATTCAACCCTTTAGATGACAAATATAAAAACTCCTTTAAATACAATGATGACAAAACAATATCAATATATATGTTGGCAATGTAAAATTACAGGTGTAAAATTCGAATTGATGGACGGAGTATTAGGGTTAGCTTTATCTCCGTACAAGCCTGGCAGTGAACGCAACCTATTCTTCCATGCTCTTGCCTCCACAACCGAAAACGTGGTCAGCACCAGGGTGTTAAGAAATGATTCCTATGCCTCCACTAAGCAACTTGGTATGGATGATGTCTATGTAAGTTGAAAAAGTTTGTTTCATAAATTGAATTCATTCATAGGTTGAACTAATGCAATCAATAGAAATAAAAATGCCTATGAATTGCCGGATTACTGATGCCTGGTTCACGCAAAAGTATACAAAATATAAAAATTAACTGAGCAACTGAAAAGCTCCTGCAATTTTTTTTTTTCCAAAAATACCATTTAAGAAAAACTGATTAACGATTTAGTGTCTTTTGACTGTCAAAAGATCACAATTACTTACTTACTTACTTAATTATTGTTAGTGACTTCAATGCATGTATTTGAAAAACCTCGAATCTGTTAATGAATTTTATTTATCTCATTTTCTTTAAATATTTAAAGATTTTGTGGAGAACATTTAAATCACTTTAAATCTAGGCTTTCTTAAAAAAGCAACTTGGAGCGCAATTGAAGGAAATGAAATTTATTTTAAAATCAAGTTTAATCAAAAGAATCATACAATACTAGAACAAGCAGCTGCTTTCCCTTCTTAGTTCACAAGTTACTCCGATAAATTTTCAGGTATACCCAGAAGAGCGTCCCACACAATCAGCAGCCCAAGCCATGGACAGTAATGGTATCCTGTATTTCGGTATGATGAATCCTCCCGCAATTTACTGTTGGAATACCGCCACAGAATTCTCTCCACGCAACTTTCATGTACTTGCAATTGACGAAGAGACTCTACAGTTTGCTAGTGGCGTTAAAGTTGTCATAAACACTAAAGGAGAAGAAGAATTATGGGTATTAACGTGCAGCTTCCAAAGAGTAATGACTGGCACGATTACATCGGACAGAATCAACTATAGAATTCATGCTGAAAACTTATCAATCTTGTTGAAAAGATCTGCGTGCAAAGGAGGAAAACAAAAACCGTGGTCTAACGTTTAAAAATATAAGTTCCCGTGACTATTATGTAAAAAGTTTTGTTAATTTATTTTATCAAACTGAAAGTTATATGAAATGAAATAAATTAATTTATTTTGGCCGAATATACTTTTATATCAAAGTGCGAAGAGTATGCGCGGTTAATGTTGTTGTTAAAATTATAATTAGTACTAACTTTAAATAGTTTGATACTATTAAAAACTTGAAACTTGCATTTTATTTGTTTTATTTTTAAAGTTTCTAACTGTCTAAGTTACTATTTATCTTAAAGTAATTACTTTAATAACTGAAAATTTATTTTAAAACACAAAATTTATTTATGATAACACGTCATATTGAAACGCCTGATCCGTTTCAAGCAGCGCTCTTATATAAAGAACCAATGAGCCTAAAGCCATTGCAGATGTCAATGAATTACAAGTACCACCCTCAGAGGTGGCAGCCTTCTTCACTTTGTATTCCTCCTGAAAATAAAGTTCGTATATCACTTTACGGGTCTCATTTAGGTCAAATTGAGTTTCAGAAAATATGAAACTTTTCACTATTAACACAGGACAGTTGTGGTCATGTTTTATTTTAATTTTTTTATAGGTACCTCTCTACTTTTATCGGTGGCAGTTGATGATGGCCCTACGAATCCAGTTAGTCTTAAGAACGGTTGTCGATCATCTGAGTAACAACCTTTAGGTTCCTGCCACGACAATATTTTATTCATCCATCTCGGTTTTATGAACTCTCCATAACCTTGCAAGGAGCAATAAAAAACTGAAACGACAAAAAATGAATTTAATAATAATCATATATTCACACATCTCACACTCGGGCCGTCTGATCCCAAACTAGGCAGAACCGGTACTATGTTAACCAGACTGCTAATAGATGTACTATGTATATATTTCTAAATAAATACTTATAGATAAATTACATCCAGACAGAACAAATGATAGTGGTCATCACACAACTATGTCCTGAGTGGGAATCGAACCCACGACCTCTGGCTTAGCAGTCAGGTTCACTAACCACTAGATCCACAGGCCCGTCAACATATATTGTCTTTATATTATTATGTTATTTATATCTGATAGGTATTTTTGGACAAGTAATAAAGTCATAACAGAAATTTACCTTGTTGCATAAAAAGTGTTCTAGTGCCGGGAGGGTGATTCCAAGCTTCCAACGATTTTGTTTCTTTATAAATTTGGATACATAATTTATATATGTGTGCTGAAATATCGAGTCCTTCCAAACAGTCAAAAAGGTGTGTTAAAATAGCAGCTCTAACTCGGCTTGTTTGTTGAAAAGCTAACCCTGAACTTTTTATAACCTGCGCAGCACATTCTGGTGTCAATTCGCAAGTTCCTTCTGTTTGCGTAGTCTGTGTTTCCATGGCAGATATCAACAATTGCATTATACAGGCATCTGCAAACCAAGCAGAAATCCAAATCAAATTTCACATACACATTGTGTCCTCTTCCTGCCCCCGAAGGGCGTGCGAGCTCCGTAGCGCGTTGCGCCACCACACACCCCGGCCTGCTTCTGCTAGAGTGGCAGATGGCCTCACCTGTCATCCTCAGGCCTCAGGCATGGAGGACGGAGGTCGTTCTGCGACCTCCGGCACCTGAGCCGTCTACGGCACCTGGCTCGTTCTCGGGCCTGGTGGGCTGGGAGAGTTCTGAACCTCTCCCTTTACCAGTCCGCCATCTCCTTCGCAAGCATAACCTGCTCGCAGAAGGAAACGGCAGAGTTCCACGCACTCCTGCTCCGTACCATGAAGGTAAACATGTTACCGAGCGAGAGAATTCCCACTCCGACGGCCGCCACGAGGCTACGCCTTTGCTCCACCCACGCAGGGCATTCTGCAAGCGTATGGAGCGCCGTGTCCACGTTCCGGTCATCGCAGTGGTGGCACTCAGGCGTTGGCTCCTTGCGGATCAGATACAGGTGATCACCGAAGCATCCTTTCCCGGTGATCACCTGCGTCAGCTGGTATGAGAGGGTTCCGTGATGCCTCATGAGCCAATCCTTCGTAACGGGTCTTACCGCCGATAACGGCGTGCCCGGCACTCGGTGGCCCGAGTCGTTCCTTCTACTCCTCCACGAGGACCTGGCGGACTTGGGATACTCGATTCCTCGACAATCAGGAATCCGTTCCAGCTCCCGCGCCCCTTACGCCACTGATACACAGCTGCAAGGGCTCTCGGCTCTAGGCCCCAAGGTGGAGTTCCGTCCAGTAGACTCGCCGCCTCAAAGGAGATCGTGCGGTATCCCCTTATGACCCTGATGGCCAGTACTCGATACGGTCATCGAGTACCACCCAGTTGAGTACCTCCACCATACATGAGCCATATACATAAGGGGGAGTTTCTAGGCAGGGCCCATCAGATTAGTTAAAAAAGAAAAATCGATATCCAGAAATACTCGAGCGTATAAGATTAAGGTAAGATGAGCCAATTACATACACATTGTGTATTTACACAATGTATATGTCGACTGCACGGATGGCGTAGTGGTTTAAACGGTCACCACGCCGCTTCCTACTACGCCGAGTGTTGTGGGTTCAAACCCCACATGGGACGACACTTTGTGTGATCCACAAATTGTTGTTCTGAGTCTGGGTGTTCTTTGTGTCCGTTTCATGTATGTTTGTAAAGTCCCCCGCGACACAGGATTTATTCCTAATGCGGGAGTTGTCTTTAAAAAAAAAAAAAAAAATATGTAATTGACGCAACACAGCGTGTATTTAAAAAATCTGACGATTTGAAGGTGCCATAAAGCAAAAGCAGCAGTGCCAAAATCTGACGATTTGAAGGTCCAAAGGGCACAAAGGTCCAAAAAAACCCATGACCTTGACATTTTTTTTATTCTGAAGCAAACAATGAAAGAAATCTTCAATAAATGTCTACATAATTTTTCATTTCATAAAAATCAAAATATTTCTAACCGTCAAATTTAAAATACCCTGCAAAATCATCGTCAGATTTTTGGCTAGTATGAGAGGAACATCAAGCTGATTCGTTTGTTTAAAATCTAACACGCTCGACATCTTGAAATGGCAATTTTTCGAATTTGTAGTTTGCATTTTTTACAATTCGCTACAAGCTTTTGGCACTTTAAAATCGTCAGATCTTGCGATGGGAACATTTTTGGCGTCCAAATAACATATCCTCAAAATATCTGAAGAGCCCGATTATTTTTTTTCGATTCCTCCCCTTATATTTTTGAAAACCCAGCGCTGTAAGTGAACATTTTATAACTTTTATTCATTCTGTTTTTTGTGTTGTGTGTGTTTTTTATTCATTGTGTTTTCTGTATTCATGTCTTAAATTTTCGTATAATATTGTTTTCAGGTGTTGGATATCCGTTCGCGAGGTGCTGGTGACTGCACTTTTACCTATGTGTACGTTGCCGATGTATCAGACTTTGGCCTACTAGTAGTGGACGTGATGAAAAATAGATCCTGGAAAG